GACTCCAACTCAAAAAAAAAAAAAAAAAAGGTTGACCACATCAACTGACTCTTCCTTCCAAGAAAGATTTCTCTGTGTATCTTTTCCAGGAGTAGATTTCATTTCAAGAAACCACTTTTTTTGTTCATCCATAAAAAGCAACTCCTAATCCATTTGTTTTATCATGATATTTCAGCAATTCAGTCACATCTTCAGGCTCCACTCCTAAGTCTAGTATTCTTGTTATTTCCACTTCATCTGCATTTACTTCTGCCACTGAAGTATTAAACCCCTAAGAGCCATCCATAAGGGCTGGAATCAACTTCATTCAAACTCTTGTAATATTTTGAGCTCCTCCCATGAGGCACAAATATTCTTAATGGCATCTAGAATGTTGAATCCTTTCCAGAAATTTTTCAGTTTACTTTACCCAGATCCATCAGTGGAATCACTATCTATGGCAGCTATAGCCTGATAAAGTGTATTTCTTAAATAGTAAGACTTAAAAGTTGAAATTTCTCATTAGTCCATGGGCTGCAGAATGGATGTTGGTATTAGGAGGAATGAAAGCAGCATTAATTTCTTTGTACAGCACCATCAGAGCTCTTATGTGATTAGGTGCATTGTCAATGGGCAATATAACTCTTTTTAAAAAAAGGAATAATCTTTTTAAAAAAGAAATCTTTTTTTCTGAGCAGTAGGTCTCAACAGTGGGCTTAAAATAGTTGGTAAACTACGCTGTAAAAAGACTTGCTGTCATCCAGGCTTTGTTGTTTCATTCATAGAGCACAGACAGAATAGACTTAACATAATTCTTAAGGGCCCTAGGATTTTTAGAATGACCAATGAGCATTGGTTTCAACTTAAAAGTCACTAACTACATTATCCCCTAACAAGAGAGTCAGCCTGTCTTTTGAAGCTTTGAAGCCAGGTAGTGACTTCTCTGTGGCTATAAAAGTCTTAGATGGCATCTTCTTTCAATAGAAGACTGTTTCATCTACATTGAGAATCTGTTCAGTGTAGCCACCTTCATCCATGATCTTAGGTAGGTCTTCTAGATAACTTGTAGCAGTTGTTATATCAGCATTTGCTGCTTCACCTTCTACTTTTTCTTTACAGCTCTTCAACTAACCTCTGCTGGCTTCAGATTTTTCTTCTGCAGATTCCCTCCCTCTCTCAGTCTTCATAGAATTGAAGAGAGTTAGGACGTTGCCTTGGATCAGCTTTGGCTTAGGGGAATGTTGTGACTGATTGACCTTCTATCCAGACTACTCATACTTTCTCCATACCAGCAATAAGGCTGTTTTACTTTATCATTCATGTGCTTACTAGAGTAGCACTTGAATTTTGTTAAGGAACTTTTCCTTTGCATTTACAACTGTTTGGTGCAAGAGGCCTGGCTTTCAACCTGTCTTGGTTTTTGACATGCCTTCCTTACTAAGCTTAATCATTTCTAGCTTTTGATTGAAAGTGAGAGATGTGCAACTCTTTCTTTCACTTAAAACTAAGATTCACTTGAAACTAAGAGGCCATTGAAGAGTTACTAATTGACCTAATTTCAATATTTTGTCTCAGTGAATAGGGAGATTTGAAGAGAGGGAGCGAGATGGAGCTGCCTCTTAGTGGAACAGCCAGAACACACAGAATATCTACTTATTAAATTTGTCATCTCTTCTATTATGGTTTGTGGCATCCCAAAATAATTACAATAGTAACATCAAAGATCATTGGTCCACAGATCACTATAACAGATATAGTAATAACGAAAAAGTTTGAAATGTGAGAATTACCTCAATGTGGCACTGAGACATGAAGTGAGCATATTCTGTTGGAAAAGACAGCACCCACTGATTGACTTGCTTGACACAGAGTTGCCACAAACTTTCAATTTGTTCAAGATGCAGTGTCTGTAAAGTGCAAAATAAAGCAACGTATGATGAAATGAAGTATGCCTGTACATATTTTTTTTTCATTTTTAGTAAATCAGGCATGATTGCTTCTCTTGATTTTATTGTTTTCTATCTTTGCACCTATAAGTTAGGATTTTTATAAAATTTCCAGATGTAGATAGTTTAAAAAAATCAATACAGGATACTGCCAGGGTAGGGGTGGGTACATCAACAATATCAACAAGGGTACGAGGTCTCAAACCAGGCAAAGTGGAGACCAAAGGGAGGCCCAAACTTTACCTGTTCGATGTCTACTTGTATACCGAATCCTGAATTGTACCCCACATCTTTAAAGTAAAATAAAATAAAAAACATATAAGATCAATGTAATCTTGCCACTTTCCACAAAAAAAATCAATACTATTAGTCTTACAGCCAAAAATGTACTCACATGCATCCTTCTCACCTTTTATCCTAACTCTCTTGAGACAAAAATATTTCATTTCAGTTGTGTCTTTTGTAGCTTACCTACATAATTCTAAATTGTATGCTTCTATCTGATTTTTCAAATTGAGACATTATTGATTTTCTTCAATGTTATATTAGGATTTAACTGTTTTACTCACCTTCCCCTGTATCTCTCTAACCCTCCAAATATTAATTATATCCCAACTTTTAATTTCATCTTTCTGATTGAATCTCTATAGAATCAATGTTCTTATTATTGCCTCTGTAAATATTTATTGCTATACTATGATTGCACCATGTGTATCAGTCAGCTTTTGCTGCAGCACAAGCAGCCCCCAAACTTTAGCCCTACAGCAACAAACATGTATTTCTTGTTTATATTACCATCTTATAAGACAGGTGACACCATCTCATTTAGATATTCTGATCTTTCCTTACTTTATTTCTTGCTTTTTGTGTTTATCTATCTGATATTTCAAAAGGTTTTTGAATCAGTTGAGGCAACCCATACATTTTAGCTACTTTGATTATTCTTAATAGTATGAGTGAAGAATGATGATTTACTAATGAAGAAATGGGTGAGGAAACCACTTAACTTTTCAAGGTCACAGTTTTTCACTGGAAAATATCTTGTATATACTGTATGGTCCCTATTAATATTTCTGTCTTTCAAATAACAAATAATACTTTATATAGCACATGTCATAGTTTACAGAGTACTTTCAATTATTACTGTATTATCATCAAAAGTCAAATTTCTAACGTAGATATCATCTTTACAGGCAAGGAATGTTCAGAGACATACATTTACTTGTTCAAATGCATACAACTGCTTAGTAGAAATCATATCTGGAAGAGTATTCTTCCCACCACTGGATTTTAGAAGGATAAATAAAAACAACAAGAAGAAGAATAAGCAATTTTCAGTTGTCCCTCCTTGTGCTATGTTCTGATTTGATTTGCAACCATTTCTTTGATGTACTTTTAAAATAGTACTAAAAGTCAAATCCCCATATGACCTCTGCAAAGATCATTGGACAAACAGCAGCGATATGTGATAAGTGCCTAGAAAACAAATAAGCTTACGCTAAATCACACATTTGTTGTGAAAATAAAAGGAGAGCTTGCAAAGTATATTGCTTGTACCATTTAGTTACTATGATGTAGTTCTACTTACCAGATCTTCCAGTTTGTTACCCATGCAGCTACTTTTACCCCCAGCCTGCCAGAACATTGTGTTTCCATAAACAGATGAAGTGCTTACACATTCATAGACTGAGACGCCAAGAATTCAGTTGGGTTCTCTCATTGCTCCAAGCAGATTTCTGCCCTCTCAGCCATGACAACTCAGGCTGGGCTTTGAATACTGATGGCAAGCCCTTTTATTATTAATCAGGGATTTGTATGAATTCATTTAAGAACATAAGGGAGATGGGAGCTTAAAATCAGAATCAAACTTAACATCCTAAATAAATAGTGCTGCTTCATCACATTTAAAGCTCTATCAAATAAAACAATTTAGTAAGCCTTTATGGCGGACTAAAAGTGTACAATCTCAAAATTAAATTTCTAGATACTTTTAGCCCCTTATCAATAAAAAGGCATTTTCTTATTAGAAGTTGAGTAACAATTATAGTTTTGAAAGAACATTCAGTATATTTCTGTGTTTATTCAGATATTTGGACATGAGCATTTCTCTACTGATTGCCTAGGATCCTCTGAGAAGGTATACATTTTTATTTAAAATGTTCATCCGGCAGGTTCAACTCAATTTTAGTCTTGCTCTTAGATGACTAAAAATCACATTTATTGCACTTAAAATTTGCTGTAAGCACATAAAGAAAATGTAGTTATAGTCCTAAAATAGACTCCATTGCCATTACCACACATTGAAATAAATACATCATTATTATAAATGTATAATTATTACGTGGAATGCATATATTTGGATGTAAGTATTGTAGTAGTATAGGAACAAATACCTGTATATACAAAATGTCTTTTAAATAAAAGGTATTTTATAATGAAGTTATTTGATTATGCATAAATATAGTTCCTTGTGTTTTATTTTATTAATTTAAGTTATAATTATTACAAGTTGACTTCTCCTGATCTGAAATGCTCTAAATTTGTAACTTTTAAGCACTGATGTGATGCTTAGAAGAGTCATATAATGCTCATTGGAGCATTTTGGATTTTAGATTTTTAGATTAAGGATGTGCAACCAGTAAGTGTATAATACAAATATTCCAAAATTTTTAAAAATTCAAACTGCAACACTTCTGGTCCCTAGCATTTGGGGCAAGGGATACTCAACCTGTACTAATATAGTAAGGCATATATTTCTAATTTTAGAAAATTATCTGGTATTTCCTATTGATATAGTAATTAGAATATTGTCTGTGTTTTGCATAATAGAAAAAAGTTTTACGATTACACTTACTCTTCAGAAAGCTATTTGTATATCAGATATCTCATGATCCTTGATTAGAGCACCATAGTGTTGTATATACTGATTTTTTATTTAAATTACAACTTTTATTGTGTTTTTACTCATTTGAGAAAGTTTGGAAATTGAGGCAAAAATATGAAAATTGAAAGAGAAGATCTTAGAGCCTATTTATTTTTGTAAATGGTGGTTCAGTTCATATCTTTTAGCCATATTAGTACAGTTCTTCACATATGCCAAATATTTATGGTTCTCCCAAGAAATTATCTTTTACGGGGAAAGGATAATTTAAATTATTTGTAAAATATATTTAAAATATAAGCAGAATATTTCCTGTCAAACATCAGGCTCAAATTATGTCTGTATGATTTTTGTTGCACACATTATTTCCTAGATCAGTGCCCTATACAATAGGCACTAGATACATACTTACTGATAATGTTTAAATAGTATTTTAAATCTTTGCAGTAATTTAAATTTGTTTTAGAACAAATGTAGCATTGTAATATTTTGGCAAAATAGATGACATTATTCCAGTGCATCTCTCTTATCATCCATCCCCGCCAAAAGCATTCATACACAGTTTTGATTCTCCATAGATTCTTATCTAATACACTCCGAAATTCCTCTTTCATTGAGCTGCTTCTTTAGTTCTTTAGTGCTATCCTTTTGATAATATAGTTGTTATCATTAGCCATTTTCCATATGTCTGCTTGTTCTTCCATATGCTTTGAAGGAGGTCACTTTCTCTTGACTCCCATTTCTTTCCCTTTTTGCCTGACTTTAAATCTGTGGCTCATGTCAGAATATGATTTACATGGTTTTGGCCTGAGAAACTGCTGCAAACTCAGGTAAAACTGACAGTTAACCTAACAGAAAAGCAAAAGATTTAAGAGGCAGGGTTAGTATACTGAGGCTAAATTTATGCTTTTATATAAGATTTGACAAAGGAAGGAAGAAAAAAATGCATCCTCTTAAATAGCTTTTTTACATTAGAATATTTGTTATTTTTGGTTGTGAAGTTGATTAAGATATTAATTTGAAGGAACTTTGGTTATTCACACTAATGACTGAGAAACGCATTACAAATTGTTATGCTCAATTGCATTAATGTAGGCAATGCTGTTTTAAAAAATCAAGTCTATGGTCATACTTTATATAAAAAACTATACTTAATACAAAATCCGAAAATAGTAAAGTAGTTTAAATCTCGTGAGCTTTGGCAATTTATTTTTATTATTATAGTAAAATATCCATAACATACAATTTTAACCATTTAAAAATGTACAGTGACAAAGATAAAATAGAGCTGAGGTACCTTGAGAAGCACCTTCTGTGTTAGAAGATTGCTGGTGGCCCAAAGGCTAGTCACAATGCCCAGCAGATGTCCGACCCACATTCCAGGAGGCAGCCTGGTTCTGGGTATAGAGGTCCATTTGTCTGTTTCTCTAACCACCTTAGGCCAGGTCAGCAGATCAAAGTAGATCAGCAAGGACAGTCTTTCAAATGGGGAATAGATTTAGATAAGCCTAGAAAATTCAGTTAACCTCATAATTAAGCTAAAATATGTTAGTCTGTAATGGAAAATGCTTCTAAAAAATTTTTAAATTTGTAAGCGACTATTGATTTGGAATACAAAATAACATATTAGTATAAGCCTGCAATTAAATCAAGCAGTAAAATCAAAAAAATTTAAAAAAAATGTACAGTGTATGGTTCTGTGCATTAAATACATTCACATGAACCAGGTGTGGGGAATTGCACTTATAATCCCAACTACTTGGGAGTTCAAGGCAGGAGAATCGCTTGAGCCCAAGAGTTGGAGACCGGCCTGGGTAACATAGCAAGACCCCATCTCATAAACAAACAAACAAACAAACAAACAAACAAACAAACGTGTTGTAACCATCACACCATTCAACTTTCTTATCTTCCCCAACTGAAACTCTGTACCTATTAAACACTCCTCATTTCTCCCTTCTCCTAGTCCCTGGCAATCACCATTCTTTCTGTCTCTATGAAGTTGACTACTCTACATACTTCATATAAGTGAAGTCATACAATATTTGTCCCTTTTTGACTTATTTCACTCAGCATAGCATTGTCAAGTTTCATCCATGTTGTAGCATGTGCCAGAATTTCTTTCCTTTGTAAGCTAAATAATATTTTGTTGTATGTATATATTACATTTAGTTTATTCAAATATCCATCAGTATACATTGGTTTGCCTTCATCTTTTGGCAAACCAAGTGAATGATGATGCCATGAACATAGATGTCTGCATTTTTGTTTGTTTTTCCAACAATATTATGAAAGATGTTAAACATACAGAGAAGTTGAATTTTACAATGAATATCTGCATTTTTACCATCTAGATTCCAGCAGTAATATTTTACTATGTTTACTTTATCAGTACTTACCATCCATCAAACTGTGTTATCTTTTGATACATTTTAGAGTACATAGACAGTAGTGCACTTCCTTATAAATGCATGGATATAATTAACTAGAATTCAGTATTAGTTTAGTTTCTCTTCTAAGATAATATTTACACATAAATCTTAAATGCATATTTGATGAATTTTGACAAATGCATACACCTGTGTAACTGAAGCTCCTATCAAGATACAGAACATTAATCACCTCGAAAAGTCCCCTCATGCTCCTTCTTAGCCAGTCCTTTCTCCTAATCTCAAGAAAGGTAATCACTGTTCTGATATTCTACCATAGATTAGCTTTGCTTGTTCTGGAACTTTATATAATTAGAATTAGACATATGTACTCTACTGTGTAAGTCTTCTTTCATTCCACATAATGTTTTTGAGATTCATCCATATTGTTGTAGATCAGTACTTCCTTCTTTTGTTTTGCCGAGTAATGTTCTATTATGCAAAGATACCACTGTCTTACGATGGATACCTGGGCTGTTTTCACGGCAATTTTTATTATTACTATTATTACCTATTTTATACAGGTTGATAAAATACCTCCCTTGCATATTCCTTCACCCTTTGGTCACTAACATTATGGCTTAGTAAATGCTTGTGAAGGGATTTTTGAAAGTAGTGTATTTAAAATTCTTCTTGGCCAGGCATGATGGCTCACACCTGTAATATCAGTACTTTGGGAGGCCGAGATGGGAGGTTTGCTCAAGCCCAGGAGTTTGAGACCAGCTTAGGCAACATAGCAAGACCTTGTCTCTACAAAAAATAAAAATAAATTTAAAAAATTAGCCAAGCTTGGTGGCATGTGCCTGTAGACCCAGCTACACAGAAGATACGTGGAAGAATGGCCTGAGCCCAGAAGTTTGAGGCTGCAGCAAGCTGTGATTGTGCCACTGCCCTCCAGCTTGGGCGACAGTAAGACCCTGACTCAAAAAACAAAACCAAAAAAAAAAAAGATCCTTCTTAATTCCCTGACAAATAGCAACATAATTTTTCCCTACCCTAGATTTTAGCCAGTGAAAGAGATCAAGTACTTGCTGATTTTAAATGTGTATCACACATACTGGTGTGTGGTTTTCTTTTCTTTTCTTTTTTTTTTTTTTCGAGTTGGAGTCTTACTCTGTCGCCCAACCTGGAGTGCAGTGGTCACTTCCGGCCACCGCAGCCTCGACCTGCTGTGCTCTGGCAATCCTTCCGCCTCAGCCTTCTGAGTAGCCGGAATTACAGGGATGCGCTACCACGCCTGGCTATTTTTTGATTTTTATTGTAGAGATGAGGTCTCGCTGCCCAGGTGGGTCTCGAACCCACGGGCTCAGGCAGTCCACTCACCTCAGCCTCCCAAAGGCACGGGATTACAGGCTGAGCCACTGAGCCCGGCTATTCCTAAATTTTTGAAACTGTATTGTCATTTCACCGTGAAGAGGGAAGTGAGAGTAGGAAACACTATGTAATTCCTTTTTTTTTTTTTAAGTTGGAGTCTCACTTTGTCACCCAGACTGGAGTGCAGTGGCATGCTCCCGGCCACCTCAGCCTCGACCTGCTGGACTCCGGCTATCTTTCTGCCTCAGCCTTCCAAGTAGCTGGAACTATAGGCATGCGCTACCATGCCCGGCTAATTTTTTTTTTTTTTTTTTTTGAGTTAGAGTCTCACTCTGTCGCCCAGACTGGAGTGCAGTGGCCACTCCCGGCCACTGCAGCCTTGATCTGCTGGGCTCCGGCGATCCTTCCGCCTCAGCCTTCCAAGTAGCCGGAATTACAGGCATGCGCTACCACGCCCGGCTGATTTTTTGATTTTTTTG